CCTTTGAAAATACCCTGAACACTTCTATTCCTGATGTCTTAGGGATGCCTATTTATTCTCTCCATTTGTCTTTATGGCTGAGAATTGCAGAGTACAGGAAACCACAAATGGCCTATAGGAATTCAAGCTCTCTGCAGTGCCTCTTTTTGGAGGTTGTGGTAATGTATTGTAATTCTGAAGGCTGTGGAAAAGGGGTATTTTCTCCAATAACTCTTTTCTGAAAATATGAGAAAAATCAGGAGAAGGCCCTATGTGTCGAGCTGGGAAAAAAACCCAACCAACCAACCAACCAACCAAAAAAAACCCCTTTCAATCACTTAATGAAATGTTTCCAGAGGGCGATGTAATAGGAAGCAATCCTACAAGCCTGTCTGCTTCCAAGGCAAAGCAAGTGAAATCAGCAGTAGTGACAGCAAGGACAGCCATGCAACACTGGTGGCTGAAGACCCTGCTCTCTGAAGTGTCAGTGAAGGCTGCAGCATGAGAGTGTGGGAGCAGAGATTATTGCTCCCCAGATTTACTCACTAGAGCCTGCTTGCTCCCTATATACCACTGATGTTTACACATCCTGTAGATGTGTCTACACATCAAGAGTTAACGCGTTAAAAAATAACATACTGTGTGTAGAAACTCAGCAGGCTTTCTTCTATAGCAGATGAGGGACTTAACTCTGAAGGGCCTTCCATGCAACCTTCATTCCAATAGGACCATTAGGAGCTGAATATACCATGCATATCAGGTGAGAAAGCTAAGGCTGAAAAATTAAGCTAAGACAGAGAATTTGGCCCCCAAAACTTCTATATGCTAAGAACGTTGCATTTCTACTTGTACCAGAGTTGATGGCAGATTTCCTATTGGTTTCAAAGGAATGAAAACCAGCCCCTATTTCCATACAACTATGTAAACTTTGAGCTGGAAAAGTACTTGTTAGATCACAAAGCTCATTTGAAGAAAATTGCAAAACATAATGCCCTTAGAAGATCTGTCAGTCTTTTAAGAGCTGTTTTGTTTTGTCAAAAGCAAATAAACCTGCTTGGGGAAATATGGACAGGTGATTTGTATAGTGATTTCTTCCATTTTCTTTTCATTATTTCTACATACAGACTCTTAACCAAAGTCAGGCACAGTAGAAGCATCAGGTTGTGCAGTTTGTTTGCATAGATTGCTTGTTATTTTACATGTACAGCTGGTGGGTGTCAGAAGTGAGTAGGTATGGCTAACTCAAGCTATCTCCTGAAGTTGAGTGTTTTCTTTTTAGGGGACTGTAATCATCTAGCTGTGGAAATGATGTTAGGGTGCTGATGTTGGGTAGTATAGCAGAATACACCCAACAGGATCTGTCTTTTTAAGAGCTTTGACTTGGCTAGTGTGATGGAAGTGTTAAGACTAGCAGTGCACAGTAGCTCCTTGCATAGTAATGGGTGAAAGTCTGCCTCAGGCCTAGTTTGTGAAGCTGGTATATTAATTTTGACTTCTTTTTTTTTTACCATGGCCGTAGGCACATTCATGTGTTACTGTGAGCTAAATGAAGGTGTAGGCAGAGAGATTATTTACTCCTCTTCATATATAAAACTACTTTTTAAGTCAAGTTTCCTCAGCTGTGTCATTTCTATAGTGTAAATTAAGGAAATTTTCTTTGCTGTAACTTGCTTGTTGGACTATATTTTAGTGCAAAGGAAGACTGGAAGAGGTAAAAAGGTAGGGAAGATGTGCTTGTACCCTGTCAAGATGGTCAGCATTGTCCTAAACTATTGTATTGCTGTCATTGCACAACCTCCAGAAAGTACAAGTAATGTTATTACTTTTAATTTAAAGAAGTTGAAGCATGTACATTTGTTTTTAATCTCCTCTCCCTTTCAACAGTAGGATATCAAATTTACACTATTTAACTATATTTACACACATTTAACTATATTTCTCATTTAACTCCATCTCTCGTTAGCATCATTCCCTTTGACATGACTGCCATCAGGATCAGAGGAGGTTCCTTGGACCTTGAATAGGGGAGAAGGATGAAACTGACTGCTTTTGTGTCTGTGAGGACTCTGGATTTTCTGGAAGGAGCGTGGCATCCTGCTGAATCATATTCCCCACCCTCACCCTGAAAGACTGCCATCTCTTTACTGCGGGAAGAGTTTTGCCAGTCCACCTGAGAGGGCATCTCTGGCTGACCCTCATACCTCAGGAGGACGTGTGCTTTCCCCAGTGGCATTGCTTGGTACTTCAGCTATGGCTGTAGTGGTCCGTCCAAGTGTTGGTGACTTCTAATGTCAGTCAATTCTGCTGAAAGACATCTAGTGCCTTTGAGAGGTAGACTGCCTGGGAGACCAAGGGACAGATAAGTCTTTGCAGTATTTGAAAGGTGGTTTGCTATTAGGCATTTCAAACTCTATGTTTCCCCCAAAAGGTTTTCACAGATTTCAGGTCCATCTGCCCTATGCTTTTCTCTTCACTGGTCTACAGTTCTGATTCTTTGGTGTGACAGAACTAACACAGTAATGACTTTTCCTCTTCAGGAAAAATCCAAGGGCCCCCAAAAAATTCTGTTATCATATCAAGAAGATGATGCTGCAGTGTCATGCCAGGTGCATGCCAATGGGACTCAGAGCATGGGCTGTGTTTACTCCCTTGAGAGTCACTTATGTCAATCCTTAACATAGGCAGATGAAACCAAAATAAACTTGCTGAAGTAGATCCCAGTATCTCTACAGCCTTTCAAACCGGTTTAAGTAGACTATGTGGGTTGTTTTTGGTTTTTTTGGTTTTTTGTTTGGTTGGTTGGTTGGTTTTTTTGGCAGGCTAACCTTTGCACTTCTATGAGGAAGTCAATATTTGCATTGTTGCTGGCACAGAAACTCTAAGGATTAATAAAAATGAGCTTGTAGTACATTAGTTCTTGGACAGTGCTTTGGGGATGAGGGGTTTGGCTCACTGCTATCCAAGCTTATATGCCTGCCCAGTACACATCCAGCTCATACCAGGGGAAGACAAGCGATTACTGAAGCCATGGTCTGTTGGGACTCTGGCATGCGGAAGAAAAATTGACATGTGTAGTCCAGTTCCTGTAACTACCCTAGAAATTTCTTCCAGGAGTGGAATTTAGAGACTGTCTAGTGTGGAGGAGATATCTTTCTTCCTATTTGGTAAGCAGGGCCACCGCTACCTTGTACCACTATGGACAGTCTCTGAGCACAGCCTGACAAATTGCTAGTCATGCACCTTTCATGAAGATTAGGAGGGTAAATAAAACACATCCCATCAATGCCTTTGCCAGAGTCCAGCATGTCTTTATTCAGTCAGAAGTCGTTAAGACAAAAAGCCCTCCACAAAATTAGTGGTTTGCTATCCATCATCCATCCTTCAGCATGTGCAGTTCATTCCAGCAGCACTTCACCCGGAGTGAGGGCTGGGGTGCTCTCCCTTAGTGTTCTCTCCTACTCTCAAACCTCAGCGTTTGTGAGCACATGAAATTGGATTGGCAGGCGCAGACACAACTCCTTCAGTCCCAAAGGTAAGCCTGAGAGTTGCAGATCATGGAGGGACCAAGTCTGAGTCACTGGTTAACTTGCTGCTTCTGCTAACAATGGTGACTATGATGATATAGTGCACAGATTCTGGGAACACTTTTAGTGATCAGTGGACATCAGGCTCTCATTATCTCATAGACTAACAGTGCTAACAGCAGGTGATTACACCATAACCTTTACTTTGCAAAGCAACAGTCTATATCTCACAGAGCAGTTGCTTGAATGTGAATTAGGGAATGGAAGAAGATGGAAGAGTTGAATCCTAACCAGCTGATGTGTAATTCAGGCTGGACGTGAGGAAGAACATTTTTACAGTGAGGGTGGTAAAATACTGGCACAGGTTGCCCAGAGAGGTGATGGATGTGTCACCCCTGGAGACATTCAAGGCCAGGGTGGATGTGGTTCTGAGCAACCTGATCTAGTTGAAGATGTCCCGGCCCATGACAGGGGGGTTGGACTAGATGACATTTGACAGTCTCATCCAACCCAAACTATTCTATGATTCTAAAAGCACCTTGATTTCAGAGAGACCTCTGCAGTCCACAGCTTTACTTCACCTGTACGGTATCCTAATAGAAGAAAATCTCATTTGTGTTTTCTCCTCTGTGGCCCCTGAGAACTGATTTTTGCTTAGATTTCTATCCCTGTAAAAGCATATCCTAGTTCTAATTGGAAGTGAATGCACTAAGAAACCAGCGCAACACGGGGACCCACCTCTCATTTCCTTATTTTCTCAGATGTGGTGTGGATCTCAGTTACATTGGTTTTATATTGGCTACATGCATCACTAGGACCACAGGAAACCCTGTCAGCGTGCTCTGGGCCACCTGTGGTGGGGGCGGAGCGGGGAGCTGCTGGGTGTATCCAACCACAGGCAAAAGGGAAAGACGCAGCTCTCCTTCCACTAGCGCTTCACACTGCCTGAGGCTGCAGCTTTTGCCAAAGCTGGTACATGTAATACCCAAGCAAATCAAGTTTGGGAACCTAGCTCAACCAGCCACAAGGTCCTGGGGAGACAGGAGTGTTTCACAGGAGTCAGAAATGCTCCTTTCATAGCAAGGGGGCCTCCATGTGTACAGAAGTGACCAGTGAGCAGAGCAGCTTCAGCTAGCAGTGTACATGTCCTCACTGTGCAAGGTCAACATAAAACACGGTCTCTGAGCAGCCCTGAGCTGGATACAGAGCAAAGGCACTCCAGGCAGGGGCTGCAGGTCCATCTCTGCCCCAGCTGCAGCCTGGGCAGCCCTGGCTTTCAGTGGGAAAAAAAGCAATGCCTCGATGCAGAGCACCTCTCCTGCCACCAGACCATTGCAAGAGCAGAAGCAGCCCTCTGCCCTCCTCTGCGAAGTGCTGTGAAGGCCATTAGTATATCTGCTCTGAAATGGACTCATTAAAATACAGATTCACCTTTGTTACTCTGCAGCTGCATGCCTGACTCATCCCACTGCAGCCGCTCTGAAATGGGAACCCAAGTTAAAAACTTTCCCAATTTGTTTTTTTATTCACCGTGGAAGCTCATGTCTAACACACTGAGAGGGCAATGGAAGCCATAACAACATTTGTCTTCATGGAAGGCGAATGGAAGGAAGCCTGAAAAAAAGGGAGAGGAAACAAATGAGACACCAGCTGATTAAAAGACTCTTATTTCATGTTGCCTTCCACAGTCTGACACAGGATGCTTTCTTGCATCCCAGTACCCAGTGTTAGTGTAACCCATCTGGGGCATGGCATCCCCAGCCCAGGTGTGCATATGGTATTTCCACCTTGCTTCCTCTTTTTCCATATAACCACAGAAAACTGCCAAGCAGGTGTGGCTTTGCAGGCATGGCCTAACAGCAGGCTCTGGCTGGAATCCCTGCTTACACACCTGATCACGCTAAACCTCTTCTCCCCAGTGGCAGACAGAGGCTTTCGCTTAAAGTTTTTCTTGCCAGCATCGTCCCTGGACACAGACCCCTCCTAGGTGGCACATGGAGGGATGTGGTGCACCCAGGCTTGCAGACTTCTCTGATGGGCCAGGGGATGCTCTGGTCTGCACTGATTTCCTCTCCCCAACTGTTGTGGGGGAGAGTGCCCATGGGGACTTCCAGCTCCTTCACACCCAGACAGTGCTTAAGACCACATGTGTCCCCAGCCTCTTCCTGCCAAAATGGAAACCTCATGGCCTAAGCCCACCTCATCCAAGCTGGTAACTTTCTCGTTTGCTTTTATACACAGACGTGATTGCACCAGACATTGCTTTTAGCTGCAAGAAAATGTCTTCTTCTTACTGTTATGTTCTTAAAGACTGCCTTCCCAGGCTAAACATCCTTTGCTTTAAATAGATGGGGTGACCCATATGCTATTGTGAATGATTATTCAAGGGTGAAGTACAGACTCTATTCCAATGATTTTTTAAAAGACAACCTAAATCAATAAGATCTTTCTTGTAAGTTTCTAGATATATATCTAGATATGTATGCTACATCATCCCTATTGCTTTCATCATTTGGCTCACTTCTGCTATATTTGTTCATGCGGTACATTACCAAGCATCTGAAGCATTTGCTCTTTTGTCCTCTAGACTGCACTGATTTCTTCTGGAACAAAGTGTAGCTTAGAAATTCTCCACTGTGGATTTTTGTAATGAATATTCCACAGTAAGCCACTTGTTACTAATGAGCCTAATTTTACTTGTACAGCTCTTTTTATAACCTTTACTCTTAAAAAAATAATTGGGAAAATTTACAATGATAATTGAAGTGTTTATTAACTGATGGTCTACTTGCAAGATTAAACTGAACATGGCATTGAAATTCAGACCATTTTTCAGCTTTGTACAGGAAAAAAAAAATGCTGCAAGCATGGAAGCCAGTATTTTCCACAGCACACCTCTTAATATTCTTTTTTATTGCAGACTGCCTACTATAGTATAGCAATGTTTTCAACAGGAGTATATTAAAAGCCTAAAATCTAAATATAATTTAAAGTCTAAATGGAGCACGATTAAAAATGCATTATCTATTCCCAGCAAATCAATATCACTGAAACACTAATGTTTCCCTAATTTTAAGCACCAACTAGTGAGTCAAACATTAGATCTGATCTTCCAAATTATGGCTGAGAAATATAAGATCGTGGCTTGACTGAATCCCACCTAGTGCTCTGTCTCTTCCTAAGATTTGTACTGTTAGCTGTTTATTCACTGTCTGCTCTCTTGCTAATGGACTTTAACTATTCCTCCAAAGGTGCCAAAGACCTGAGATGCTGCCTGGAGATAATTTGTCTGTCAACAAAGGAAGGTGCTGGCTGAGTAGGCTCCTTAGTTAGACACTGCTAAATGTCTAAAAGCAGAGCAGGGAGAAACCTCATTTTGATAATGATAACCTTTGTTTTGTCACTCCAGAGCAAGGGACTGAGAGGAGGTGGCTTTTATCCAATCATCAGTGAAAGGAAAAAAATCTCTGGGCAAATAAACAGCTTTATAAAGATCATAATTCTTACTAGTTCTATTAGCTGGCTTGCCACAAAGATGAAGTAGGTCTGAGAGGGAATTGCACAGCAAACCTGCATGCAATTATACAACCTGCTTATCCAGCACAGGTATTAAATTAGTTTAGTTAAATCAGTGCTGGCTCCTGTGGCAACACACTGGAGTCGGCTGGCAACTGCCCTGCGTAAACTATGCCACATATACGGAAGTCATTCGGAGAGCAAGTGGTGCACGACCAGCTTGGTTAACATGGCATCACTGGGCATAGACATGGATGTTCAGACTGTGCCTCATTTGGCCTCATTTCAGTGCTTGCAGACGATGCTGTGATGGTACTTTATGCATGCCAGCAAGATTGGTGGGAGCCTGGGCAGTGTCTGGCCTGGCCTTGCTCAGGGTCTTGGAGTGCATCACTTGACTGGGGAAGTGTGTTTTGGCTTCTGCTGGCAATACTCACTGTTGCCCATGCCAGATCTCTGACCCCTTTCTGGTGCATCTGGATCCAAGGAAAGTAGGATTTAATTACGTGTCCTCAGTCCCAGCTTCTGTGGCTTACCAGGCATACAAAAGGCACTTTACCAGTGCTGGGGGGCTGTTGGCCATGGCTCAATAACAGAAGACCAGTCCAGTTTCTGTGCATTTGGTGGGCATCATGTGCAAGGGTTTCTCCCAGTGGTGGGTTCCCAGATGCCTGCCCAGCCAGTGTCTAACCTCTGCTGTGCTCTGAATTGGGGATCTACATCTGCCTGGGAGTCCACCCAGTGAGGGAGGCTGAGGACTTGACCAGGACTACAGACAGGTCTCTGCTGTTGGATTATTGGGTTTCCAACAGTCCTCTTCAATCATCAGTTCCTGGCTGTGTCACCTCCCAGCCCTCGCCTCAGAGCAATTGCGGCTGCGCAGGTGAAGGGCTGATGGAGGACAAGGACTGTTGCCTAAAAAGACATGATGCTAGGACTTGCTTATGCCAGAACTGCTGCAGAAGCTCTCCTCAAACTTAGTCCTGTGCTGAAGGCACAGCCTGTGCGCACCCCTGCACTCACTGCTCAGCCCCCCGGTGAAAGTGTGAAGGCACAGTACTGGCTTGCTGTTTTGAAACCATGGAGGTTTATCTGCACCTCTAGTTATTGAAATCTGGTACCTTATGGGGTTAAACTGGAGAAAGCAGTATCTTTAAGAGTGGAAGAATAGTGGGAGCTTTAAGGCCTGGTACCTCATCACCAACACACATCACTGCTAAGTGGTGACAGACATACCTGTGTCTGTTTTGGCCAAAGCAGGAAAAGCATCAAACCAGAAGCTTGGACTCAACTGCACAGCTTTGCTAACAATACCTGAAATACTTTAGAGTTGTCCCAACTTGGACATAGGCAAAGCCACTGGAAAAGAGAAACAAGACATTCCTTTTCTACTTCATCCCCACTGCCCATACTGTCATTTTGCTAGCAAGGGGGAAGATTTTTTTAACAAGATCCTGATTTATAGTTTATAATGTCATGACCAAAAGTGGATTCAAGCAGTAAATCAATTTTTAGAGCTATTCAGCAAAAAAAGCAGTGGTTTTTGAGTCCTTCACAAACAGAGCGGAGGTATCAGTCTGTAGGTATCAGTCTGCTTAGCAAGACAGTTTAAGCTCATTAGAAGAGTCACACAGCATGCATGCTCCACATCAGTACCCAGTCAGCTCCCAGACAGTCCTTGATTACAGGGGTAAGCCAGAATTTCTTGACATCATATGAATAAATATAAGCAAATGCAGGAAAAAGTCTTTACCTTGGGCTTGAGCAAAAGTTGACATCTTTGAGTTCTGCAGGATCGTCCTCTGCACCCAAGTCTGCAGGGTCATTGTCCAGTGTTTATCGACACTGTCAAGATTTGCAGGTCCTGAGTGTATGTGACTTGGAAAGAAAGGTGTCAGGAGGAGATTCCTGAACACCTCCACCCAGAGTTACACAGAGAAAAATACAGAAAAACAAAAGCAAGCTTTAAGAGGTCAAAATGCGTAGCCTGCCCAAAGCTACTATTCCTGGTAGAAATTAGACGCTGAAGGGCCTGGGTGAAAATCAGGGGTAATCCCTGTACACGTTTCTAATGAGCCATACTGAAAATGAGGAAGCTGAGAGAGTCAGCTCCTGCCTGTCCCTGGGGGCTCCAGGTTTATTCCCAGCTGGTAACCGAGAGCACAGTTATGCAAAGCCTCCTCTATAAACAGGGTCTGGTTTATTATGGCTGAACTGGGAGAGTCTATTTTTGTCACTGCTTTGTGTGAATGTGTTACCCTTGTGATTTCCAGCCAGATCATTCCATGTCAGCTGCTCTGGCCGTGGCTGCTGGTGGAAGCTCCTCTGCCCGCCCAGTCCCTGGCCCCTCTGCTCGCCTGCCTGGGTTTGGCTCCTGGGCAAAGGGGATGAGGGGATGTGCCTGTGGCTATTCTGGTAGCTGTGAGTTATGGCGGTGTCATGTGAAGCAAAGAGCTGAGAAATGCATGTCAAATCAAACCAGTGACTAATCATGATATTTTGGTTGTCTTAGTGCCTGCCAGTCAAAGATTTATGGGTTCAGAAAATCTTCACGTAGTAATCCTTGGGTGCTGATTTGATCTTCAGCTCGGGCTTCCTGAGAGAGTGTGAAAAGAGGACGATAAGGGCACTGATGTCCCGGGGTGGAGAGGTCTAAACTCATTCGAGTTTGAAATACGAACAGGAGACGAGAAAAGCCAGCACTCCCTTCTTACCCGTGTCTGCTCAGAGCCATGCACTGCGAGCCAGAGAGGATCTATTCAATGCGCCTGCAGAGCAAGAAGGGTCGAGGGCGACGGCTGAGCAGACACAAACTATCATTTGTTGGGATTGTCATCTAGCTCCCTCATCTGTCACCTGATGGCCAGCCAAGCAAGTGCTCCGCACAACCGTGGACCCTTCATCCTTGCACAAGTGACAGAGGCAAGAAAAGTAAGGATCCTACAGCTGTTACAACATTCAGCTGTTTTTTCTATAAAGGAATGCCTTGAATTCACTACCAATCTACTAACTGTCCCCCCTCTGCCAGGCAAGAGACTGATTTGGTTTTTTTTGTTGGGCTTTTCTCTAACAGCTGGAGGTCTGCTGGGCACTCAAGCAATGGCTAGTGAACAGGGCAGCTATTTCACTGTCTAATTGCATTTTTACTTTAATAACTTCAGGGGAAAGTGCTGCATTGCCTACCATGAGTTACTTTCTGTCCTACTGTAAAGCGCACTGCACCACCGTACTCGCTCAGTATCAGACCCTGAGATCAGAGGGCTTTCTGTGTGATATTTTGCTGAAAGTGAAGGAAAATGAATTTCCTGCACACAAATCCTTGTTGGCATGCTCCAGCGACTATTTCCGAGCTATGTTCAAAAGTTACACCCAAGAGTCTAAGGCCAGTGTAATTCACCTGCAAGTTGTCTCACCCACTGGTCTCCAGCATGTCCTGGATTTCATTTACACTTCCTTGTTGCCCCTTTCCTTTGAAAGCCTGGAGGATACCTTGGAAGCTGCAAGCTACTTGCAAGTGACTGACGCTATTGGCTTGTGCAATCAATACTTAGTTAACAACCTTGCCTTGGAAAACTGCTGCTTCTCTGCCAATGTGGCCAGGAAGTTCTACTTGCCAGATGCCTTAGAAGCAACAGAAAAATATATTGTCAAAAATCTCTGGAAACTGCTGGACTTGGATTTGCCAGGACTGCTCGAACTGAACTTCAGGTCTTTGCTAGCAGTGGTTCAATCACCAGATCTCCCCATAGTGAAAGAAACCTGCTTGTTGAATCTTGTGCTGCTCTGGCTGAAGCAGGATAAATCCAGGCTGGTTCACACAAGCAGCCTTTTAGAGCACATAAGATACGGTCTCATCCCAGTGGAAGAGCTGAGAAAAGCCTACAGACAGTCGGAAGTACCCCTCTCATCAAGTATTAAGTGCTTGATCATTAAAGGAATAAATTACCATACATCGGTTTACAAACAGCCTGTCCTGCAGGATAAGTCCACCACACTAAGGAATGAGAAAACTCGCATCATTCTGCTGGGGGGAGGAACAGCAAGTGGGGGGCTTGTCACAGATGTGGTGGCCTTCGACGTTTACAATCACAAATGGCGAGCTCTCACAAAGGTGCAGGACAGGGTGCAGAACCACAGTGTATGCGTGGTGGGGAACTTCCTCTATGTCTTGGGTGGGGAAATAGAAAATGGTGCTCCAGGTGACACTAAAACCGAAAAGAACCTATTGGTTACAAACAAGGTCTACCGTTATGACCCGAGATTTAACGCATGGACCCAAATCACAGGCATGCTGGAGAAGAGATGCCAGTTTTCTTGCTGTGTCTTGGGCAAGGATATCTTTGCTATTGGTGGAAGGGGTGGGGATGGGTCACTGCATTCATCTGTGGAAGTCTACAACATCAGCAGGGACAGATGGACAAAGGCCAGGGAATTGCCATGTAAGATGCATGGCCATGCCAGTGCCATTTGCAAGAATACTATATACATCTCTGGCGGCAAGTACTCAGATCCAGCCAGCACAAGCAAGGATGTATATTCTCTGAGCTCATTTGAAGGGCAGTGGGTGAAACAAGCACCCATGAGCATTGCTCGATTTGGGCATCAGATGGCAACAATCAGAGAAGCCATATTCACCTTTTTAGGATTATATGAACCATTCTCTGAAATAGAAAGATACGATCCTGATCAAAACCAATGGACTCGGTTAAGACCACTTATCTATGATCGATTTTGCTATGGTCTGGCAGTGGTAGAGGAAACAGCTCTTCTTATTGGGGGAAAGAAATGGCAGAACTCACAGGAAGTCCCCACGCAAGATGTGGTCGGTTATGACATTGACAATGATGGCTGGGAAGAGATCTGCAAAGCTCCCTCGCCTTGGTGTGGGCTGCAGTGCGCGGTGCTGCAACTCTCCGAACTGGCCGATGAGCAGGAGACTGACAGCCAGCAGAAGAGGCGGCTGAACTGCTGAGCTCACACACTGAGGAAGAACCATCTCAGGGGACAAGTATCAGGGTGGTGCTGAGGAAGAAGAAGAAAACTGCAATGGCACTGAATGTGTCAGAGTCAAAGCTTTTCCTTAATAAGCCAAACACCTGGTGGAAACATGCAAGGAAGTCTGGCTCCAGCATGGGAAAAGGTGCTGGAATTACAGAGTTGGAAGCCTATCTCATTAAGGAAGGATGTAGCAAGTGGCACATTTTGAGGCAATGTGCAAGAATCGTAATCCTTGACTTTTGAAGAATAATACCTAGATAGCAATTAATTTTTCAAGTCCGATATTTCAAAGGTTAAAAAAATATAATCCATCTTTTCTGTTTTCTTAATCAGAGGTAATTTTCCTAGCTGGTAAGTGCCATTGAATTCTTATACTATGGCTAAGCAAAATAAAAGTGAACTGTATAAAGACTAGAAAATTGATGCCTATGAGAACTAATAACATATGCTGCCAAGGAAAAGGTATTATTCGATATGCTACATACAAGGAAAGAACATCTTAGCTAACCAGCATGAAATTACTGGACAGAAAGCATGGATTTTTTTGATATATGGACTCAAGTTATGGCCATGAGTTGAAACAGTGATTGTTTAGCAGAAGTCATTTCTCCCTGAGCAGCTTTTGTTGCATTATGCCCTTCAGATGCTTATTTTGTGTCATTTTAAAGACCAGCACAGCACATTTCTTTTGTACCAAAACCTTGTGTTAGTTTAGATGGCCAGAGCTGAAGTGGTATACTTATTATTAGCCTTGTTACAGGAGTTGCTGTAACTAATCCCTTGAAACTTACCTCAGTAGCACATGCTGCTTTATCATACCTGCTCATAAGGGTAAAATGGATCATAGCTGCTGAATGATCTGCGAGAATCTTGCAGTCAGAAAAGGTTTACTTTCATCAAAGAGGATGAAGGTGAGAGAGGTAACTGAATGTTGTCAGAAGTCTTTATTCAGTGTCTGCCTACATATGAAACAGCAAGCCTTACTTTTTGGCCATGCTGGACAAGTTTGAAGGCACAGATTATGAGGGTACTTTAAACACTGTGTATCTGTGAAATGCAGGTAAAATGGCCAGATGCTGCAGAATCACTTTGGTATGAAGTAAATTGAATCCTGAGTCACAAGTGTTCATTTAAAAGCTAAATTTATTGTACTTCATTTTACAGTGTTCCCTTTCTAGGCTGAGAGTTAATACAATAAAAATATATATAGAAGAACATTTAATAGTCTTAAAAGAAGGCAGCACAATGGAGAGGACACATGTTCTTTGTCACTAGACTAGCTTAAAAAACTTAATGTTTAATTTTCACCTTTAAAGCAATCAAGCTGACTTTACTAATGTAAAGTGCAGGCAGAATAGCTGTTGCATAGCAACAGATCTAAGTCTTCTGAGCTGCCTTGGTTTTGACAAGGAATCAACTACACAATGTGCATATACATCCATCAGATATAAAGAGGTTTTTTATATGAATATATTTACTTTTGGTCCAGTAAAACAATAGCAAGAGAATCTAAATGCTTGGAACAATAGCACAATCCATTTCAAGTCAAGCATTTTTAAAGAGAAATTTACAAAAAACCTCACAAATTTAATATACAAGTCAGTACCCATGCAGTAAATAAATGTTCAGTTTATACAAACAATAGTCTTCTAATGGTACAAATATTACACCGGATCCAGAATTCTATACAAACATTAATACATGATTTGTCATCCATATTGACTTGAATACAGGATTACTGAAAATGGGCTACAGAAAGGCCACTCTTCTGTACAATTGTGCAAAATCTGCAAAACATTTGCAATCCAAATGCAATAAAACAAAAAAAAAAAAAGAGAGGGAGAAAAGGAGAGAAAGGGGAGAATGAAGGAAAATGAGGGAGAGAAAGAGGAATAAAAAAAAAAGAAAGAAGGAGAGAGAAGGTAAATCTATCCATTCTTTCCTTCAACCCTTCATGGATGCCAGGAAATATCAGAGCTCATAAACTTTAAAGTACATTCACTAAGCTGTACAGGCAATAGTCTAAAGTTGGTTAAGAGTACAGCTTGCTGTAAAGAGTATAAAGGAGGCTTTTCCCTTTCACATGAGCATTATTAAATCATTGTGAGTTCTAATTTATGCAGCAAAATACTGAAAAGCAGCAGAAATATTTTGTCATGCTCTGATGACTTTTGAAAAACAAGCCCATAAAAAGTAAATACGTGATTTAAGATTTCCCTCCCACTTTCCTATTCCAGGCCTGTGCCTGGCTCTAAGGAGCTATTTCTACTCATATTCACTGGGTTGTCTCCAGCACATCTTGCATCTCATAGAAGTTTAAAACATTTTAATTGGCTTGTGAACTCATCAGAACCCAGAGGCATCACTTTCCCTTCAAAAGGAAACCAGAGGCTTTTTTACTCCTCACTTTTTCAGGTTCTCTGCTCAGCTCTGCTCCCATCACATATTTTCCCTTCATACAATACAGCCAAATTTCACAGCTCAGAAAACACATAGGAGACTGCATGAAAAATCGTATTCACTCCATTTCTATTGTGGGAATTTTCAAAGCCTCTCAGATTTGTAGCACTTCGTTGGGAACCTTTTTCACTGCTGCTTTTCTGGGCAAGAGAAATGCAGCTATCAAGGATGTTCAAAGTCTACTTATTCTCTTTTGAAAAATCTACACATTATACTGATACCTTCAGTACAAAAGCAGCATAAATGACAGTACCATGACTAATTTTTAAAAAAATCAACCAAATGTGGTTAAGAGACAACTAACACATAATTTGGTCTTCATTAGCATATAAACCAGCATCTCTTTGCCCTGATAGTAAATCTTAGCGGCAGGCTTTACAAAAGCACAAGGAAATAAGACCTAACATTTTGATACTTAAATTCCCTTCAATAATTTCTGTCTGCTGATTTTCACCCTTTTGTGTGTTTGACAAAACTGAAACACAAGCGCTGCATTACATTTTTTCCCTGTTACTTAAGAAAACTCCTAGAGTTTCTCATTAAATATAAAAATTAGTTTTCTTCCACCACCAAAATAGTACCTGCACTCCAAAAATGCAATGCAATACTGGAATTATATAATATAAAATATCATTGTAAAAGTAACCTTCGATAACAAAACCCTAGCTTGTGGAACTTCCTGCATGAAGGCCACAATCTTCCAAAAATGCTTTTAAATACTTTTCTTTAATAGCTAAAGATTATTTTTGTTATTTCACAGAAGGTAAACACAAGCAGAGCATTGGTAGCATATAAAATATACAAATCCTCATTAAAGATGTGGTACTGTTGACCATTGAAGGTTTACTTTACACAGCTGAGTAACATTAAAATATAATTTACTAGAACTCCCACATATTGATATAAAACCTACTTTACGCACTTAAGTAAAGGGCTGGAGTGTAGCAAATGGGCAAAAAGAGACACCTTTATACATGCGTTTCAATGTAAGAGTAAGTGTGCGCTAAGGAAGCTATAAGTGCATCAACCTCAGATGAGCCATTAACAGAGTCCCTCGGGGTGCTGCTTTGATAGATGTCCGTGAAGAGATCAAGGTACATTTGTTTCCATTCTTGAAAGTCTCTAGATGTCAAAGCTGGATTATCCAAAACTTTATCTATAATAGCTACTTCTCCTTCTCTGGCCTGCAAGAGAAAAAGAATAAGCAGAGTCAATGTGAGTGGCTGGTCAGTCTCATGGGTGGAAGGAGAGAATGGTGGGAGCAAACTCAAGCCACGGAGTCCCTAAAAGCAGGGAGATTATCTGACTGCTCTATAATGGCTCACAAAGAGAAGCCCTTCCTTCAGTGTGTCACACATCACCCTGCATGGCTAGGGCTTCTGTTGCCTTGTCCAGAATCCTCAGAAACATTCCTATTCCCCTTCCTCACCCCTTGTTCAGCTCAAGAAAAAGCAAGCCTTGTACTGTTTACTATTAGCTGCTTGCATTTCTCAGGATGGGTTTCACACAAAGAAGTGTCATCTGTTTACAATTCTTGATCAGCAAAAGAAGTACTCTGTGGGATGCAGACACATGGACTCTTGCCTGCCAGCAGAGCTACATCTTTTTTACTGGGCTTGTCATGGGGACATCTGAGGGTTACATTGCAAAGGCTTGTGCAAGGACCTCCAAGTTAATGATAAAACATCTTCATTAGAGATCCAGTGTATGTGATGGGCTGGCTGGCTGCAATCTTCTCCTCCCACTGTAGTGGCAAAGAGAAGGCAGAAAAGGATAAAATCTAATGTAGCTGCTGGTATCTCCTTAACCATCATCGAAGCAGGGGATGTGACTCTATCATAATCACTGGCCAGTGATTAGTTTATCAAGAGACAACAGGCAGCCAGTACAGATCAGATTAAGCCTCAGATATACTCATAGACACTTGTGGTTGTTGCAAGCAATGAAAGTTGGATGCAACAGACATAAGCCCTGGAAAGATAACATACAGGTTTCCAGTACTACTCCTCTGCATGGGAATGGTATGGTTGCCATCAATCTCCACTCTATCCTCTCTTCCAGACAGGTTTCACACTCCTCATTGCTAACTCACATTTTCCATGTCCATACTATAAGTACGTTAAATCTTTCTGGAAGAATGTTAAAGAGAAATATTAAACTGTCTCAGCCTATGCTGATGGGAGACAATGAGAAGGGTGAGAGATGTCACCCATAAGCAGTAGGTTGAGAGGTATTTTTCATGCTTTGCAAACAGTAGTAAATTAATGATATCCACTAGAATATTAATTTCCAGAAACAGAGGTGCAAGCTGAGAATGACCAGTGGGAATTGAACTATGGGGACTCCCAATTACCATATCTCTGCTTGAACTACCATAACATGCTTCTTGCAGATTGTGGCTAGTATCCACATCTCTGCAATACCAGCCCATACTTGCCGGTAGAAGAATGGTCACAGGAAGAGAGCAGAGGGTCATTTGTTAAGCACTTTGATAATGGGACAGAGAGCCTATGGATAACAAAAGCTAGAAGCATTTTGGAGGGCTGTCTCAGGCTACTATTAATGTGATAAAACTCCAGGAAAGTTCAGAACACCAACTCCAACAGGCCAGTGCAATTGGCTGCATTCACAAAGGAGAAATCAAAAGCACTGATAAAAAGAGAGAGTAACTGATTAGGTAACAGCAGTAGCTATGGGTACAGATGACTACCAGTAGTATGGTCCAAACAAGAATGGTGACAGGTTTAGAAAATACTGCTCATGGACAGAGAATGAACAAATTGTCTTTTCTTGGTCTAAAAGAAAGAAGTCCCAAGCATGAGAACAGGCATCTGATGGGTCAAGAGGTTGTGCTGGCTTTGGAATTCCCTGTGGGAAAGCAATTCCATTTGTAGGAAGCTACTGGCATAATGTAGCTCAGTTAATCAATAAATGCTAACTAGGAAGACAGGCGTGGCAGCAAGCTGCTGATACTGAACCACAGTTTTGGTGTGAGTAATCCCGCCATGTACAAAAGCACAGATACAGTGTGAACCTCCTGCCACCCTGACATGTCTGAGTACTTTGATTTTGTTTCAGTTTCACATGCTTGTAGAAATGTCGTGGTTTAAGCCCAGCCGGCAATACATAACCAGGCAGCTGTTAGCCCACTCCACCCCTTCCTCCCTCCCCTGCTCCCGGAGGGATGGGGGGGAGAATCAAAAGAATGTAACTCCCATGGGCTGAGATAAGAACAGTCCAGTAACTTAGGTATAACACAAATCACTGCTGCTACCACCAATAATAATAAAGATAGGGGAAATAATAAAGGAAGAGAATGCAACTGCTCACCACCCACCGACCAATACGCAGCCCAACCCAAGCAGTGATCTAGCCCTTCCAGGTAACTGCCCCCAGTTCCACATCCTGGACATGACATGCTGTGGTATGGAATACCTCTTTGGCTAGTTCAGGTCAGGTGTCCTGTCTCTGCTTCTTCCCAGCTTCCCCTCCTCCCTGGCAGAGCATGAGGCTCACAAAGTCCTTGGTCAGACTAAACATCAATGAGCAACAACTAAAAACAGTTATCAGTGTTATCAGTGCTGCTCCCAGGCTGAAAGTCAAAAACAGCACTGCACCAGCTACTAAAAAGGAGAAAAATGACTGCTACTGCTGAACCCAGGAC